TTAGATTTTTCTCATCTCCTGATTCAGTTCTCTGATGTTATTCCCAATCATAGCACCTGAGAAATCTCTGTCTAATCTCTGTATGGTCCCTTGATGAAGTTAAAGGGCACCCTGGTGACCTTCCTCTCCAGGAAGCCCTGATTTAAGGAAGGCACACTGGAAGCTTGTCTGTCTCCCTGCATGGAGGCAGTCTGACTCCTGCTCATTTTGAGCACATGAACTCTGAATGGGTTGAATATACTTGCATGACTATGGGTCAATTTCTTTCCATTTTTTCTTGTTCCAGGTTCCTATGCGGGGGCGGTGGTGGCCATGCCTCTGGCTGGGGTCTTGGTGCAGTACATTGGATGGGCCTCCGTCTTTTATATTTATGGTGAGTGATTTGACTTCCTGAGTTCACACAGTGACTCACAGAGATGAAATTATACTGTACAAAGTTTTGGCTAAAAGTTTATGTATAAATAGAGATTACTAAGACAAGTTTATTGGATAAATTGAATACATGTCTACCTGAGATTCATTTAATGTTTATAATAAAGTTGACTTTTTTTTTAAACAAGCAGAATATTATCTGTCTTTAAAAACCAGTTAACAACAACATGAAAATCAACAAAATACTTTCCTCTGGCTGAACATTATTGCTATTGGGGAATATTTGAAAAATTGAAAAAATGAGAGATGAGGGAAAATGAGACCATATCAACAAGCCTCTTGTTTTTTAACTGCAGGTATGTTTGGGATTATTTGGTACATGTTTTGGCTGTTGCAGGCCTATGAGTGCCCAGCAGCTCACCCAACAATATCCAATGAGGAGAGGACCTATATAGAGACAAGTATAGGAGAAGGAGCCAACTTGGTTAGTCTAAATGTACGTATGAAGTACATCTGTAAGTGTAAGTACACATGGAGACTTGCCTCTTCTTTTTGAGTATTTCTCTTAGTGATTGTGTTGTCTTCTTCTATAAAAAAGGTATTAGTATTTTCACTAAAAATCTCATGGTATTTTTACTCTCTAGAAATTTAATACACCATGGAAGAGATTTTTTACGTCATTGCCGGTTTATGCAATCATTGTGGCAAACTTTTGCAGAAGCTGGACCTTTTATTTGCTCTTAATAAGTCAGCCCGCTTATTTTGAAGAGGTCTTTGGATTTGCAATAAGTAAGGTAAAGACATAGATGTTTCAAATATTAACTTTAGATCTCTTGATTCTACCAAGAATATCTTTGTATGATAAAATAATTAAATTGCTGGTCATAATTCATAACAGTTCTATGACACCTCAGAGCCTGGAGGTCAGACAAGTTATTCTTTCTGTGCATGGTATACATAGCTATTTAATTTCTTCTTCATGAAGATCAGAGCTGTATTAAGCTACTTTTAAAGATTATGTTTTACCCAATCCCAAAGTGTTTTTGAAGCTAACTCAAGGACTGCATATTAGGCAAGGATAAAAATGTTGAGGGTGTAAATTTTTTTTCCCCATAAACTACTCAGTGAGTGGTAGTAAGAACCTCAAAGCTCATTTTGCGGACTGTGCCTCTCTCTGCAATGGTGGATAGAGCAGTAACAAGCATTGCTTGTGATGGTTTAGATAGAACCCTTTCAGTGTACCCAGCCATTGTCATCAGGTTGTCTGTGTTTCATGGAGGAAGAGTTTGTATGGTGAAACACAATCATCATCATAAAAGAATTAAACCTCCTTCCTATAAGGGAAAGAATGCCAGCCTAGCAGAGGTACATGTCTGCATAGCTACAGGTGCTGTCAGAAGTCACCACGGAAAAGCTACCATAGTCACATAACGGTGGCTGCCACCATTGAACACTCACTCTGTGCTGAGTGCTTTGCCAACCATGTGCCAGGCCCTACACTGGCTGTTGGAGTCTCTGTGATGAATAAAAGTCATCTCTGCCCTCAAGGAGCTTCCAATCAGGTAGAGGAGATGGATAGGTCTAAAATCATTCACACGTTCATTGCTTACTTAAGACATCATTTAAGAGATAAAGCACTTAAAATCATTCACTCATTCATTATTTATTATGAAATTCAGGCCTAGATCCCACGTAATTAGATGCTTAAATCTGGTGGTTTGGTAGGACTGTAGAGTGGGGGTGGGTCTCTCAGAAGTAGCAACAACCTGCTTGTTGTTTCTCTTCCTTCCAGGTGGGTCTCTTGTCAGCAGTCCCACACATGGTAATGACAATTGTTGTGCCTATTGGAGGACAATTGGCTGATTATTTAAGAAGCAGAAAAATTTTGACCACAACTGCTGTCAGAAAAATCATGAACTGTGGAGGTACTGTGGATTTCATAGCTGGCTCAAGCAGCTTTTGCAGAATTAGAGTAAACAGAGCTGCAGAGCATATGTAAGAGGTGATGTCTAGACATTGGAATGGATCTTAAAGGCCCCTAAGTCCATGCCCCAGCAGATTCTCGAGTGTCGTCTGTCACACTGCTGCTTTGTGGTCATCCAGCTGGTACTTGTGCAATCTGAGATAGGACAACTTAGTTGGTGGCTGATAAATCGGGGCACACCTGCAACTGCAAAAATGCTTCTTTCATCTACTCTTGAGCCAAAATAACAAAATATCACATATCCGGTTACACGTCTGTTTATTGTTTATCCTTTCCACATTTATTGTTTGCTTTATTCCTTTTCTTCTTCTTCCCTTTCTACATCTACATACATATTTTAAAAATTTTTATTTATACACATTTACGGGTACAGAGTTGACTATCAGTATTTGTGCACAGTAATTATCTACATATATTTTGGTAAGAAATAGAAGAAAAGTATTTTCTCTGAATAGTCTTTTATCCTCCCACCCTCTGCTTGTGCACGGGGCATACATGACACACACATGCACGCATACACGTGATATACACAAACACCATCCTCTTTCCTGGTTTATCTAGTTCCCGCTTTAAGTTTTGAGTGTGCAAAGACCAAGTGGAAGTTAGGAGATTAGACTCTTAAATGCTTTTTCTAAATTTTGGCAATCTACTATTTGGCCAAGATCATTTTTTTCTTACAGATGAACTGATGTATCATTTGTAAGTTTTATTCTTCACATGATTTCTTTATTCTAATTCATTCTAATTCTTTTGCGGACTTAAGAAAGGTACAACCTTGGTTGAGAATGTTAAAATAAGAGAATTTTCAGCCAGATGCCTTGTTATTTAGGACAGGCCACTCCTAAAACACACAGAGTTAGTATATAAAACACTAGCACATTTTCCCTATGTGTAATTTAAAACGTTGAAATAAAACTAAGAACAAGTAGCAGCAGTATAAAGCCCACAGTTTCAAAAGTACTACTGATTCCCTAATTTCGTTGCATTCTCTTTNTCATTTGTAAGTTTTATTCTTCACATGATTTCTTTATTCTAATTCATTCTAATTCTTTTGCGGACTTAAGAAAGGTACAACCTTGGTTGAGAATGTTAAAATAAGAGAATTTTCAGCCAGATGCCTTGTTATTTAAGACAGGCCACTCCTAAAACACACAGAGTTAGTATATAAAACACTAGCACTTTTTCCCTATGTGTAATTTAAAACGTTGAAATAAAACTAAGAACAAGTAGCAACAGTATAAAGCCCACAGTTTCAAAAGTACTACTGATTCCCTAATTTCGTTGCATTCTCTTTAGATGTCCATTTGAAACAATTCTTAATGCTTGCCTCTCTCTATGGGAATTTTGAAGAAATGGGTTCAGAAAAACAAGTAACTAAACCAAGATCTGCAATAAGTCCTTTAGCTCGTATTTCAACCTAATTATCTAGGTTCAGGGTCCCATTTTCTTTCCTTTGGGTTAATTCATTAGGCATTATTTATTAAGTGCCCACTACATGCTAGCCAGACTCTGTGCTAAAAATACAGTTTTGTGGGAGAGGCAGCAACACAAATGAAAAATCACAAAGCGATGCTGAAAAGTTCTATAAAATAAGTAAGCAGAAGAAGGAAATGTCAGCTTCACTGGTGGAGGCTGGGGATAGGGTTGTCAGAGAAGCTTTCTAGAGGAAGCCATATTTGAACTGGACTTTAAAGGATAGCAAGATTTCTCCAGAAAAAGAGAGGTGGTGGGAGAAAATTTTCCCAGGCGAAGGAACAGCATGTGAAAATACATGCAGACATACATTATATAATGCTGAATATACTAATTATCCTGATTTGTGCATCACATGTTGGACACAGGTATGGAGATTGGACTCTGTACCCCACAGATGTGTACAAACAATTATGTTTCAGTTAAAAAAAATACATACGGACATGTGACATAGTTGTGTGGTTAGGAAACTGCTCAGAGGGGCTGGCTGGGCTGGTTAATTCGACTGGTTACAGTGTGATGCTGAGAACACCAAGGTCCAGGGTTTGATCCGTGTACCGGCCAGTTGCCAGAAAAAAACAACAACAAGGAAACCACTAAGAGAACTGTATGTCCACAATGTAGAAAGCTGTACAGGATGAGGGCCATGAGCAGAGGGGTGAGGACTGGCAGAAGATGAAACTGGAACAGCAGGTGGGACTATTAGATAACACTACACTAATGACATGTAACCCTTGACAAAAGTTTTAAGAAAAGTAGCAACTAATCAGATGTGTGGTTTAGAAAGAAAATGGTGTAGTGAATGGATCACAGGAGGAAAAGATGGGAAGACCATCAAGGAGGGTATTGAAGTTGTCCAGGGGAGATGTGATGGGGCCCAGGACCACGACAGGGGCAGAGAAGGGGAAAGCAGAGGTCAGATTTGACAGGTATTTCTTAGGCTAACCCTACAGAATTGTATGTGAAAGCTGAGAAAGAAGGAGAGGTCTAAGACGATTCTGAAGTTTCTGCATTGGACTTCTGGCTACCATTTGTCAGGCTGTGTTCATGTGCCACGCTCAACACCTTATATATCCAATTTCATTTAATCTTCTAATGCCCTACAAGGGTGCAGTTTTCTCTCCATTTTTTCCTGGATAAGGAATCTAAGAGGTGAATAAATACACCAAGCTTCTATCTTAGGGAGGTTAGACCAAAGGTTCCGTATTTTTTTGTTCTGGGACATTACCATTCTATTTGATATTTAGAGCAGCCTGAGGTGATGGAAGAGCACGCACTGGAGCCGGACAGAACTGCTCTTTCATCCTTCCTTTGCCACTTCGTGGTGGAGTAACTCGTCCAAGGATACTCGATTAGCAGTTTTGAGGTGGAATCTGAACCCATGCCTGTCTGACTCTAAAGTCTGAGCTCAACACGTGGATAGAAGATGAATTTAGAGAAGGAGAAGTTTCCTAACTACACAACAATGTCACATGTCCGTATGTAGTTTTCTTAACTGAAACATAATTGCTTGTACACATCTGTGGGGTGCAGCGTCGAAGATCCATACCTGTGTGCAATATGTGATGCACAAATCAGGATAATTAGTATTTTCATGAAGAATATCCTAGAAGAGCATGGAGGTGGCTGTTTGCTTTATTTGTTTTGTAGTAAAAAACAGGAACNGGTGCTTAAAGCCACAAGGCCAGATGAGATCATCAAGATCCCAGTGTAGAGAAGGACATGATGGAGGCCTGGGGGCCTGCATCATAGACAGATCAGGAAGAAGGGAAGAGATGAGCAGGAGAAAGGGAAAAAGTGAAGAGGGTGTGGGATGGGGTGGCGCCCAGACAGAGTGGCCTCCTGTGGCCAATGAAGCACGTATGGCACGTAGGAAAGAATGATCAGTTGGGTCAAATCTCCCATTAGGTCAAGTAAGATGAGGATGGAGATTGCATCTTTGGATTTAGCAACATGGAGATCACTGTTAACTCTGACAAGAGGAGTTTCAATGTAGTGGTGACGACACAACCCTGAATGGAGCGTGTTCAGGAGAGGGTGAGCTTGTCCTTGTCTCCCTCTTACTTATGAACAGACAGCAGAGGATCATTCGGGAAACTTCCCAAGTGAAAAACAGAGACCAACACGAACAGGAAGAAAGGTCCTTGGAGGAAACCAGACACCACAGGGAAGAAAATAAACCTGAATTTAAAAGAGAAGAAAAGATACTGCATGCTTGAGACAAAAACAGAGTTCCACTTTCAAGAAAAAATGAAATATCCAGAGAAGAAACAAACTGATGGGAATCAGACTAGACAGAATCTTGCATCTGGGAGGTCAGTTAAAATGCGATTACAACGAGTTAGAAATGAGGGCCTAGAGCAGGATTCAGGCAATGGACATGGGGAAGAGACGGTACTTACAGAAAACTTAAAAAATATATACACACGTATTTTAAAAATGTAATACTGTATATTCTCCTTGTAGAAAAGTATCAAAATATAGAACAATGTATTGAAGGGAATAAAAATGACCCCACAGCAGATTTAATTTCTCTTAACGTTCATACAATCTTTTCTCTACACCTACGTATTTTTGAACAAAATTGGGATCATACTGTGTATACAGTTTTATATCCTGCTTTTTGCAATTAAGCCAAATAATGAATTCCTGTGTCTTTAAATATTCTTCAAGAACATGATTTATAAAAATGCACTGAAATATAATTTACATATAGTAAATTGCACAAACCTTAGTTTTACAGCTTAATTAATGTTACCTATGCATACATACATCTGTGTAACCACTCCCCAGGGGTAACCACTATTCTCAAACTATCATCGTAAATTGATTTTGCTTGTTCTTGGGTTTTATGTAAATGGATCATAGAAAAGTCAATTCTTGTGAATCCTACTTCTTTCCCTCAGTATTTTAAAAATCGGTTTATGTTATTGTGTGTATCAGTAGTTTGTTTTTTATTGGTGTGTAATATTACATTGTATGGATATACCAAGATTTGTTTATCCATTCTCATGTTGATGGCCATTTGGGTTGTTTCAATTATTTGGGGGAGGGGAGTCTATTATGAATAAAGTTTTTATAAATATTCTTGTCTTTTTGTGGACATATGTTTTTATTTTTCTGGGACTGGAATCTCTGGGTCATAGGGTAGATGTGTGTTTAACTTTATAATAAAGTGCCAAACAATTTTCTATAGTGGTTGCACCAATTTACTTTCCTACCATTTATGAATATGAGTTCTAGTTGCTCCACAGCCTCACCAATGAGAATGTAATTTTTTTTTTTCCTTTTTGTCTTTTTTTTCCGTGTCCGGCAATGGATCGCAACCCTCAGTGTCACGCCCGTACCGGACCGGGACCGGCAACGGGATCGCAACCCTCGGTGTTGCGTCTGCACCTCGCTCAGCCAGTGAGCGGGAACCGGTCTGTATGTGGGATCCAAACCCT